TGGGATCGGGTCGTTCGGCTCGGCAGGAATATGTATCACACTCTCATAGGAGCGGGCCGTTCGCCTCGGCAATAAAATAGATGTATCTGTAGTTCGTGGCGTTCGACCCTCGGCAGTGCACATATTATGATGGGATCGGGCCGTACGGCTCGGCATTTCTATAAAATAGTCTTATGAAATCGTGCGTAATAATTAACAATAAGCCGGTATATCTGTGAGTTTTTCTGATTTGAAGTGTGACGACCTATCTGGTGAGGTCCATTATATATAAACTCTGATTGAGGAGGTAACTACTAGCTGAGAGCTTGAGTTATTGCTGAGAGGAGAATTTTACCACGTATTTATACTTGTTATTTTGTTTATTTACTCTGACTCACATCTGTTTACTTCTACTGTATCTATCTTATTGGACCACTAGTAAGTGTCGATGTCGACTCCTCGTCACTACTTCTCTGAGGTTAGGCTAGATACTTATTGGGTATGCGTTGATTTACGTACTCATGCTACACTTGCTGCACTTATTGTGCATGTACATATATGTATGGTGGTTTTTTGGGCACAAAAGCACGGCTATTGCGGGGACTTTACCGTGAACTGCATTCCATGTTACGATCTGCAGCCTGCAGAGTCTCCATCAGAGTTATTTATATTCTTCTGTTTAATTTGTATTCCAGACAGATGTTGTATTTTATTATATTTCCTAGTTGATGCTCATGCACTTACGGCACCAGATTTTGGGGTTCCTACAGGTTGTTCATTATTGTAGTTCGTGTAAATATTATCATTTACCCTGTAAATTCTATTTCATACAATTTAATTAATAAAAATTATGATTTCAAAATAATAAAAGGAGCAATTAAGTTGATCAATCACCGTAGGCTTGCCTGACGGTGGTGTTAGGCGCCATCACGACCTTTAGTGGATTTTGGATCGTGACATTGGTCAATATGTTTTTGGGGAAAAAGTGCTTTTGGGATGAAGTAGAAGCAGTTTTAGAGAAGCAGAAAAAAGTAGCTTCTCCCCAGAAGCAGAAGCAGAAGTAGTTTTGACTTTTCTTCTTAACAAAAATACCTTTAGCAAAATATGGTATATATCAAAATAACCTTATTTATTTTAAACCTAATACTTAGAATTAGAGATTATATTATTGAGCTCTCCTAATGTATAAATATTTTCTTTTATTTTTAGGATAGCTTTCTAATATATGGTGACTTTTGAGATGAATGCTTTTATATTTGTAAAATAATATTTTGATATATTTAAATCATCTTGAGAAAATTAAACTACTTTTAAATTTTATTTTCATGTTTTACTTAAATAAAATGAATAAAACTTAATTGTTATCTTTAATAATACATATTTGAGATTATTTATTTATTCATATGATATTAACTATTAAGTAAATCTCTTCATGTCCTTATTCGTAATTTGATACTTAAAAGCACTTTTTGAAAAGCTTGGCCAAACACAAATTATTTTTCAAAAGTGTTTTTCAGATTGATTAGCCAAACACAAATTACTTCTCTCCAAAAGTACTTTTTCGAAAAGCCCTTCTCAAAATAAGTAAAGTTTTCCATCTTGGTCAAACATGCTATAAGTTATAATATGACCTTTAGTTAAAAAGAACAAGGTCCGCTCAATAGGTAATATAAGTTGAGCGCCATCACGTCCCACCCCAGTTTGGGGGCGTGACAAAAGGCCCGTGGCTTGGACCAAGTGATCTGCATCAAGGACAAAGAATATAAAGTTTTGTTGGATGAAGCGCATATCCGTCAGAGATGGCAGACTTACTTCCATAGTCTCTTGAATAAGGAGGGGGACAAAAACATTGTTCTCGATGATTTGGAATCCTCCAAAAAAAGTCATGACTTTGGGTATTGTAGGCGGATTAGAGTTGAGGTGGTTGTGGGGGCTATGTGTAAGATGAGCAGGGGCAAGGCGGCTGGGATGGATGAAATCCTGGTAGAGTTTTGGAAGAGTGGCTCACTAAGTAATTTAATGTCATTTTTTAGAAGAAAAAGATGCATGAAGAGTGGATTTGCACAAAAATAAGGGTGATATCAAAAATTGCAACAACTATCGGGGTATCAAGCTGCTTAGTCATACTATGAAGGTCTGGGAGAGGGTGATGGAGCTAAGGGTGAGAAGGAGTATGTCTATTTTCAAACCAACTCGGGTTTAAGCCAGGGCATTCGACTACGGAAGTCATTCACCTTGTTAGGCGATTGATGGAACAGTACAAAGAGGGGAAGAGGGACTTTCATATGGTGTTCATCGACTTAGAAAAGGCTTATGATAAAGTCCTGAAGGAGGTTCTACGGAGATGTTTGGAGGCTAGATGTGTACTTGTGTCCTACATTAGGCGATTAAAGACATGTATGATGGAGCGAAGACCCAGGTAAGGTCAGTAGGAGGGGTCGCGGACCATTTCCTGGTCATGATGGAGTTGCACGGGGGGTCGGCACTTGGCCCCTTTTTGTTTGCCCTTGCGATGGACGTACTGATGCGCCACATCCAAGGGGAGGTGTCGTGGTGTATGTTATTTGCAGACGACATTATTTTGATCGACGAGACACGAGGTGGTGTTAAAAAAAGGTTAAAGGTGTGGAGACAGACCTTAGAGTCTAAGGATTTCAAGTTGAGCAGGACCAAGATAGGTTAATTGGAGTAAAAGTTCAGTGGTGTAACTCAGGGAGTGGAAGGGGAGGTGAGGCTGGATTCACAAGTCATCCCTAGAAGAGGAAGTTTTAACTACCTTGGGCCTATTATACAGAGGGATGGGGAGATTGACGAAGTTGTCACACATGGTATTGGGACGGGATGAATGAAATAGAGACTTTCTTTCGGTGTTTTATGTGACAAAAAGGTGCCATCAAAATTTAAAGGTATGTTTTATTGAGCGGTGGTTAGACCGACTATAATGTATGGGACTGAGTGTTTGCTAGTCAAGAGCTCCTATATCCAGAAGATTAAAGTAGCAGAGATGAGGATGTTAAGATGGATGTGCGGGCATACCGGGTTAGATAGGATTAAGAATAAAGTTATTTGAAACAAGGTGGGTGTGGCCCCTATTGAGGACAAGATGCGGGAAGCAATGCTTAGATGGTTTGGACGTGTGAGGAGGAGAAGCATAGACGCCTAGGTAAAGAGGTGTGAGGGGTTGATATTGGAAGGCCTTAGGAAAGGTAGAGGTAGGCCGAAGAAGAATTGGGGAGAGGTGATTAAGCAAGACATGACGTAGCTACAACTGACCGAGGACATGACCTTTAATAGGAAGGTTTGGAGATAGAGGATTATGGTAGTAGGTTAGGTAGTCTAGATTGTTCATACAGGCAGTATTAGTACGTACTCTCGCATTTTGTTGGTATTAGATTTCTTTGATTACCTGTTGTTTCTTGCATTTTGATCATTTTACTATCTTGTTATTTATGCTACTTTTACATGGCTTCTCGGTGTTCTCCCGTCTTATTATTCTTTTAATTAAATGGTGTTTATGCTTTTCTGAGCCGAGGGTCTATTGAAAACAGCCTATCTACCTCCACAAGGTAAGGGTTAAGGTCTGCATACACACTACTCTCCCCAGACCCTACTATATGGGATTATACTAGGTATGTTATTGTTGTAGTTGATGTATTCCGCACTTATGTATTTTGGCCAAAGGAGTAATTATGTATTGAGTTAAAGAGGGACTTTTAAGCAGAAAGACTTAAGATGGTGTTAAAATATTTTAAGTATTATTCGAACTTTGAAATAATCATGAATGAGTAGACATGTTTTAAGTGGTTCGCTAGGTAAATCGAGTGCTATGTCACGCTTACCTATTTGGGCCATGACAAATTTGGTATCAAGGCACTAGGTTGAGTATGTCCTAGAATCGTGTTTAATAGAGTCCCACTTATGAGTGTGTTGTGCGCCACACTTGGAAGGCTACAAGTCATATAGGATTGTTTGTCCTTTTTTAATTCCAGATCGTGCATTAAAGCGTAAAGTGAGAACTTATCTCCTATTCCCGTCAATCTCGTGAATGGTTGGCACATAGAACGATGAACGGCGCAAGAATTGATGCATAAGCAGTGACACTCTTGTATTGGGACTGATGTTGAGGCCTAGAAAGCGGCCACTAACAAGTTGTGATCATCGGTTAAGATGCCAAGATTCCAAAGAAATTTGGGTAAGGAGATCACAAACCAAATGGATAATGGATATTTCAAAAGGTAAAGTCTCCAAAGCTACATATGAGTTTCATCGACACATCAAAACAGTCAATCACTATGACGACTACCATTAAAGAAATCAAACCAGGTATGAACAAAGAGAATAAAATAACCAAGAGATTCAACGAGAAGGCTTGAACCTCGAGATTCTATAAAGAGAATTTGAAAGGAAGCAAGGACCAATTGGTCAAAGTAAGGCGAAGCAGTGAATGTTGTAACATATATTTTATGGCTCCAGAAGAAGCAATACTTAATGGTGCTAAGTACAGTTCAAGGTATGCTTCCAGGAGTGAAAGAAAAGATATGTTGAGGAAGGGACTCCTTATTGTCAATCGGGGCCAGGCAACCTTCTACATGTCGGGCCATAATCATGGTCATGTTGCAAGAGCTAATAATAATGTGTATGACAAGTGATGTACTTCATTGGCAAGAGAAACGAGTTTATGGGAGTGAAAGCATTTCACCGGATATCGATACATATAAGAGTCCCGACCACATCAGTAATGACCAAGGCGATGTGAATTAAATTAACATGTAATGGTGCCTAGGAATGCACGTCAATAGAAAGTTTGTAACCTAATGTGGATGAGTGAAGAAGCTGCTAAGATTTGAAATGCACAAAAAGTTTTAACCTTGAGGTTGCAGAGGTAGATAAATTGCCCCAAAGAGGAAAATCCTTATGAGATGACAACTACAATCTTCTATAAATTATGTTTAGTACGGATACCAAGAAAATTAGGTTAAGAGAGAACAACCAAGTATATACTCCAAAATGCTCTTACGAACCAAGCTGAGCTTTTTGAACTCAGATTGATTTAATCTTGGAGAGAAAAATGGAGAGCTGATGAACGTTATAGACAAGGTACGAAGCTGGAAAAAATATTCTTCCAGCAAGCTAGGTTGATCCTTGTACGTAAGGTTAAAGTTAAGACAAGTAAGGTTACTAATTTTAGAATCTTACCAGATTGAATCAGGTTTCGGCGAATCAATTTGGTGATAACTGATTGGTTGATCCTTGAACTTACCAGCAACGCAAGCATTATATGTGTTAGCAATAAGCTGCAGAAACTCTCTTTCCAAGTCAAAAACCACATCCTGACCAAAAGCATATTGTGCCTTGACAATCCTATAGGGCTTCTTATATGCATTTGAACAGCCATAGTCTTCATATTTAAAGGTGAAGCATTGGTAGAATTCAGAGTTGTATTCAATATTTCCCCATTGCTTAGAAAAATCCAACTGGAAATGTCGGGTAACTGCACTAGGACTTCTCTTCAGCACTCTTGCAAGCTCATCGATGAAAATTCCTTTTTTTGTATTGCGCCAGAAAAGAGGTGAATCGTAGAATCGGTCCACATAGGCTCTGTAAAGAAACTAAAATATAAGCAGGCTTACAGTAATTATCTATACTATATGCATCACTAATACATTATTAACGGACTTACAGAAGCACTGTATTGCTGGCATGGTCACCTGGTCAAGTATTGCCCAACAATTGGAAAAAAACTTTAATGTGAGGGGGCCACCTCTCTTCAGTCAATCCAGTTCTGCTAATAGCAGACTAAATGATGGATGAGAATGCATCGAAATCAGTTTTCATGGAATTTTCATCGGCTACAAAAATTTCAAACATTACAAAAATTATATAAAGAAAAAAAACTGAAATACTTATTAGAAATAAGTACAAAAAATCAAATACATACCTGTTGTATTGTGATTGAAATCAAAAAGTCAGATGTTTCCATCCTCACTGAACAAGACTCCCTTCTCCAGATTCCCATGACGAAACCACCACTTATGAATCTGCTTGAGGCCGCTAAGGATTTGACTGAAAAATCATAAACTCATGTAACCATTTATAAGAAGGAAAAAAAACTTTGAACTATTTAAATATATCGACCCCCAAGATGAATCACAATTTCCTTCATGATCATGTAAAATCCGGCTGCCGTTTGAAAGTCTTCATACGGTATTGCACTAGCAAGTGTATAATGTGATGAATTACTAACAAACGTCTGCACAGGCTGCCCTTCTCTATCAAACTTCACTTCGGCATTATAACAGCTTATACCAGGCCCAATTTGATCATAGATCTCAAATTGAAACCTTGAAAGAACAGGCGCCATTGCTCAACTTAAAACAGAGAAAAAAGAAATAAGTCTGCCGTCAAGCGTGGAAGAAGTAAAATAGTATTTCCAAATTTTAAATCCAGCAGCAAAAAAGAAGAAAGGACTACTAGAAAACTTATTTTACCTAAACCTCAAAACTCCTGCATCCAAAAATGCAATTAGCAAATAACAAAGGAGGGAAAATGCAACTCAATTAGAAAATTACACTGCAAATCAGCTACTCAAGTACACACCTTCTCTAACTAACTTCGGTCAAGAATCAAGATTATTCGTCACACTAAACAAGAGTATCGTGAGAAGAATTGAGAGTTTACCTGTTCCAAATGATTGATCTGGAAATTTCAGGTTTACGAATTAGGGGAAGGGGTTTATTCGCGCTTTAGCTTTTCTACCTTTTCCAGTTTCTATCTTGATTTGAGGAATTTACATTGATCTTTTTACGGAAATCTTGATAAGGGACAAAACTATCCTCACACTATTTGATTTGGTACAAATATACCATCCGTCCATCTATTGAGCCAACAATACTCACCGTTATCTTTCTGGCTCACTTATGCTCCTACAACTAACGGTCAATGCCAAATAAAAAAAGGTTTATTTGAATTACATGTCACGACCCAATTTTCCCTATAGGTCATGATGGCGCCCAATGTCGCCGCTAGGCAAGCCAACGGTGAACTAATCCATGTTATTTCTCTTTTAAATAAGTTTCCAAGAAATTAAATTTTATTTATTAAGAAATTAAGGAGTAGAAAAATTAATAAATAAAACGAAAACAATTGAGTGGCAATTATAGTGATATAAGTACTCCAAAACCATAAAGTATACTAGTGTGTGTGCCGAAACCTGGTGTCACAAGTGTATGAGCAACTAATAGAATATACAAAACTCTAACTATTATCTGAAATAAAGTATACAGAAAAATAGATACAAAAGAGAGACTCCATGTGTTGCAGAACGGCTCAGAAAGAAGCTCACCACTAGGCCTCGAGATAACGGGGGTGTGCGCCGATATGACCGCCAGATGCACCTACTTCAGATCTTGCACGATTAGTGCAGAAGTGTAGCGTGAGTACATAAACAACATGTACCCAGTAAGTATCTAGTGTAACCTCAAAAAAGTAGTGACGAGGGGTCGGCATCGACACTTACTATGGGCTAACAATAAAAATACATAAATTCTAAATGAGAATGGTTTATGTAAATAATAATCTCTCGATAACAAGAAGGACATAAATAATTCTTTCACAAATGATAAATCCCAAGTCCATTTCTATCATATAAAATTTTAACCTCTCAGGCCATAAAATAATATTAAATATAATTAAGCTCCGAGTATTATCACGCACGATTATGCTGAGGTCGTACGGCCCGATCCAGAATAATGTGTACACTGCCGAGGGTCATGCGGTACGAACCATAGATGCATCTATCTAGTGCCGAGACGTTCAGCTCGCTCCACAAGAAAGTCTACTTTATGAACAACCGATTTACAAGCTAATACAAGGCTAATGTACAAAGAAACAAAATGTTTATTAACAATGAAGTAGCCCGCCGAAAATCAGGTAAGTGGAAGTTGGTCTTTTACAATTCGTCTGTCAAGTTCCAATATAATTTAGGCACTTATATTAATAGGTAGGGTGCAAATATTATAAATATTTTATTATTTGGGTTCTAAACTACTCGGACATAAGCATAATTAGTAGCTATACACGGACTCTCGTCACCTCGTGCATACGTAACCCCCACAATTAGAAGCAATTAGTAATATAAATCACATATGGGGTAAATTCCTTCTTACAAGCTTAGACAAGAGTTTTACCTTGTCTCAAAGCTCGCTTTCCAGCCTCAAATTCACTCTAAAGCCTCAACTAGGTGCCGAACAATCCGAAACTAGTCAAATGTTATATAAATTAATCAATACACGTTCAAAAGTTTGTATTTTAACTATTAGAGTAATTACCTAACCCCCTATTAGAAGATTCCTAAAATTCACCCCCGGACCTCTTCCGCATCTGCGTAGAAAGCCTCGCAGATGTGACTCTCCCTTAGTTTACCTCTTCCGCATCTGCGGACCACAGGCCCGCTTTTGCAGGACCACTGCTGCGACGCGCATGCCGCATCTGTAGCTTTGGCCGCTTCTACAGTTGCTTCCATCGCACATGCACATTCGCAGGTGCGCACGATGTCCCGCATCTATGATTTCTGGGCTTCCCACGCTGGGCCGCTTCTACAGCTGCTGGCTCGCTTTTACGAGCTTGCACCTTCTGCTGGCCCTCCATAGGTGCATTGCACTAGAAGCTTGATGCTTCAACTACTCATCCAAGGCCAAACGACTTTCGCGCATCGTCCGAATGGCATCCGGGGCCCCCGAGGCCCCATCCATACATAGCAACAAGTTTGTAATCATGAGATGGACTCGCTCGCACCCTCGGAATGCGGAAAACAACATTAAAATTAAGAATCGCAACCCAAAACCAATAGAATCAACTTATGAACTTCAAATTCTTCCAACTTACTTCGAACGCGCCGATTCATACTTAAACTACTCGGAATGACACCAAATTTTGCGTGCAAGTCTTAAATCACCATACGAAATGATTCTCATGCTCGAAATCCCAAACGGACCTCAATAACACCAAAACATACTCCAAACCAAATTTAAAGAACTTTAAAACCATCAATGTGCCAACTTTCAAATTTATGCACCGAAACGCTCACGGGTCATCCAAAACCCGATTCGAACATACGCCTAACTCTAAAATCATAATACAAACCTATTGGGACCGTCAAATCCCTATTCCAAGGTCGTTTACTAGAAATGTTGACCCAAGTCAAACTTACCCCTTTAAAGCCAATATTAAGGAACTAAGTGTTCCGATTTCAATCCAAACCCTTCCAAATCCCGAACAAACTATCCCCGCAATCATAAAATAGAAAAACCACATATGGGGAGTCTTATTTAGGGGAGTAGGGATCGATCAAGGCGTTACATTCTCTATCTCTTAACAAACGTTCGTCCTCGAACAGGTCTAAAATCAAACCTGGAGTGCTGAATAGGTATGGATATTTGCTCTACATGTCCTCCTCGGCTTCCCAAGTTGCCTCCTCAACTGGTTGGACCCTCCACTGAACTTTTACCGTAGAAATCTTCTTGGACCTCAGCTGGCAAACCTACTTGTCAACAATGGCAACCGGCTCCTCCTCATAACCCAGGCTCTTATCTAGCCAAACCGTGCTGAAGTATAACACATGCGACCTGGCGGCATGATACCTCCGGAGCATACACACGTGGAACACCGGATGAACTCCTAATAGACTTGGAGGCAAAGCAAGCTCATAAGAAACCTCCTCAACTCGTCTCAATGCCTCAAATGGGCCTTTGAACCTTGGGCTCAACTTGCCCTTTTTCCCGATCCCTATGATTCCCTTCATCGGCGAGACTTTCAAGGAACCTTCTTGTCACGACCCAATTCTATTTTAGGTCGAGATGGCGCCCAACACCGTTGCTAGGCAAGTCAACCTTAAGCAATCTAGTGATTTCCCTTTTTAATAAGTTTTTCAAGTAAATAAATTTCCTTAATTTAAAAGATTTAATAAATAATAGATTTAGAATAATCAAAATAGAAGCAGCTAAATGTAGTCATAACAGTAGAAATAAAGATAAAACCACAAGTCTATTAGTGTGTACCAAGAGATGGTGTCAAAAATGTATGGGCTACTAGTAAAATATACAAAAGAGTAATATACAGTTGTCTGAAATAAAATAGACTGAGAAATAAGGAAAAAGAAGACTTCGGCTGCTGCAAGACGGGCTCGGAAGACAGCTCACCGTAAAGTCTCGTAGTAGTAATCAAGTGTGCGTGCCGGACTGATATCCAAAAGTACCTACCTCAAGTCATGCACATCAAGTGCAGAAGTGTAGCGTGAGTACATAAAAAATATGTACCCAATAAATATCCAGTCTAACCTGGAAGATGTGGTGACGAGGGGTCGACTTTGATACTTACTATGGGGTAAAACTAATATGCCAAAATTTACAAATGAGCATGGACTTCGTGAATAATATTGAAAACCCAATAAAAGGAAATAATAAATAATCCTTTCACAAGTACTAAGTCCAGAATTTATTTTTCATCATTTAACAATTTATATCTCAACCCAATGAAGCACTATCGATCATAAATGATTCCAAAGATGTATCATGCGCAAATTATATCGAGGTCGTATGACCCGATCCAACATAAATATTTAAAATGTGCACTGCCGAGGGTAGAATGGCTCGAACCATAGATGCATCTTTCTGCTACCGAGGCGTTCGGCCCGCTCCACAAAGAAAAATACTTTAAAGAAACACAAATTCCCAATAACAGTCAAGTGTTCCATTCACAACTTCAAGTAAGTGAATTTTAACCTTTTAAAAATTCCTTTATAAGTTTTCAATCTAACTTAAGAAATTAAATTAACATTTAAGGGTGCAAACATCTCAAGTATAATATGATATGGGTCTTAGACTACCCGGACAATAGCATATATTAGTAGCTATGTACGGACTCTCATCACCTCATGCCTTGCGTAGCCCCCACAAATAGTAGCCCCCGCAAATAGAAACGCATGTTAATCAATTCACCTATGGGGATAATACCCTCATACAAGGTTAGAAAAGAGACTTAAATCATCTCAAAGCCTACTTTCCGGTTCAAGATTGTGCTCAAACCCTCAATTTGTTGCCAAATGACTCGAAACTAGTCAAATATTATATAAAATGATCAATACCTGTTCAAAAGTTTATATCATAACTATCAAAGTGATTTCCCAAGCCTATTTGAAAAATCTCTAAAACTCACCCCCGGGCCGACGTGCCCGGATTCCGAAAGGTTTCGGAGAAAGTTATTACCCATAATATTATGAGCTCAAATATATGATTTTTACTAGATTCCATAACAAATTTAGTGGTTAAATTTCCTCTTTATTAAAACCTAGGTTTTTACTTAAACCTCAAGATTTTCACTAATTTACATGTTATAATCTACTCATAAACTATGTATTTAACTCACATTTGATAGAAATTACTTATCTCAATTAGTTGATGAAAATACCCTCTTTAACCAGCTTCAAAATCACCCCCAAGAAGTGTAAGAAGTGGGCAAAATGCCTAAGTCCCATATTTAAAACAACCCCACTTCCCAGCGAATCTCGCACCTGCGAGGCCACTACCGCACCTGCGGTGCCACTTCTGCGGAGGGAATCTCGCAGGTGTGGTCCTCCCCCAGCTGGCCAATGTTCGCATTTGCGGAGCTATACCCGCTCTCGCACGACCACTCCTGTGACCATCGACAGGCGCCTGCAGACATAGCCGCCTGCGGACATAGCCGCTTCTGCGGTTTCCCCCATCGCACCTACGCATTC